TGGTGACAGAATATGGTAAGAGAGAGGATGGCCTGAGACCAGAAAGCAGTACAATTTGGAGAGAGAGCAGAAATCAGCACAAGAGGAGAGAGTAGGAAGTAATACTAGAGAAGACAGAAGGAATCAGTTCCAGAACAGATCTGAAAAAGTCAAAGTATCACATCTCATGCAAGCAGATAATTGACTAGTCTGTGAGTACTTTCTTGTTTATCTTTCAAAATTGGGGTAACGTAATTGAACAATTTTATTAATTTTAATTAAGTATATTGACAGTAGAAAAGCATATTCTGGGCAATAGACTTATTACTTACAAATCACTGAAGGCAACTAAATTAGTGAAGGCAATAAAGACGGCATGGTAGGTGTTTTGTCAGGGCCACAGTGCATGAAGCTGACAGTTTCTAGTGAGATCCCAGGCAACTACATCTGCAATAACGGAAGTGACAGATAACTTAATTTGAAAAACTAAGGTGTTGTGTCAGTTTCACTAGAGATAAGAAATAGGAAACATAAGGCCACTTGAGGAGTAGTTTGTAGACCCTGAATAGTAGTTACACACTAGGGCACACTACAAAAGGAAGAAACAAATGGCGCATGTAAGAAGGGTCCTACAATAACCTTAGGTAACTCTAACTTATATGTAGGTTGGACAAATCAGATTAGCAGAAGTAGCCTAGAAAATTAGTTCACTTAGTGCATTTGGAACAATTTCATAGTGTGGTACATTCTAAACTTAACCATGGAGGAGACCATTCTAGACCCTGGCAATGTAAAATGAGACAGGATTAATGAATGACCTCAAAGTAAAGGATTCTCCAGGCAACAGTGATCATAACATGCAAGAAATTCATGTTCAGTTTGAAGGGAAGCTATATGGGTCTAAGACTAGTATTTTAAAATTAAGTAAAGATAACTATATGGTTATGAAAACATGAACTGTGAAACTGAGTGAAAAGGTAAGGGCAGGGTTGCAATGGTAGACAGTTAAGGAGATAGTTAATAACTGAGCAAAGATTTGAGAAAGAAATGCATTTTAAGAAGGATGAATCACCCATGGCTAAATAAGGGAGTTAAGGATTGGCTGAAATTGAATGAAACACTGTACAAATTGTAAAGGTTGGTAACATTATGTAAGAAAACTAGACAGACTTAAAAACTAGGAACTCAGAGAGTAGTAAGGGCGTGGAATGCCCTGCCTGCAAAACTCGTAGACTCGCCAACTTTAAGGGCATTTAAATGGTCATTGGATAAACATATGGATGATAATGGAATAGTTTAGGTTAGATGGCCTTCAGATTGGTTTCACAGGTTGGCGCAACATCGAGGGCCGAAGAGCCTGTACTGCGCTGTAAGGTTCGATGTTCTATGTTATATGTTCGAGGATAGAATGACTAAAACTAATAAAGTGAGAACAACTGGTATATGAGATCAAGCTAGTTATTAATATATGAAAAAAGATAGTAACAGTTTCTACAAACATTTTGAATAGGAGAAGAATAACTATGGTGAGTGTTGGTTCTCTAGAAAGTCTGGGAAATTGATGATGAAAAATAAAGAAATGACAGAGGCACTGAACAGGTATTTTGTGATCTGTCTTCACTACATTTGCCGAGAAAATTTCTCAAAGATACTTAAAAATCAAAAGATGAAAGGGAGGGAGGAACTAAAAATGATCTTCTTCACCACAGAAAAGGTGTTGGGAAAATGATGAGATGAACAAATCCCCATGACCTGCCGACCTTCATCCCAGTATCTTAAAATCAGGGCTGAGAGATTATCTTCCAAAATTCCTTAGAAGACTCTTACAGAAGAGTCCAGAGGATTGGAAGATAGCAAATGTAACAATTTATTCACAAAAGGATCAAGACAGAAAGCAAGAAACCAAAAGCCAGTTACATCTATCATCCGGACATGTCTGAAACCCATCATTAAGGAGATTATAGCAGGATACTTAGAAAATGCTAATGTGATCAGGCAGAGTCAACTTGGCTTCGTGAAAGAGAAATCATGATTAACTTATTTATTAAATCTTTCTGACAATGTTGATAACAAGATTGATAAACAGGGAGCCTGTGAACATGGTGCACCTGATAAGGTGCCAGATCATAGCTTACCACACACAGAACACTCAGGAGGAGGTGATGGCCTAGTGGTATTATCACTAGACTATTAATCCAGTAGACTTGAGTAATGATCAAGGGACTTGGGTTCAAATCCTGCTATGGGAGATGGCGTAGTTTGAATTCAATAAAATGTGGAATTAAGTGTCTACTGATGAACATTGCTGACTGTCAAGAAGAAGGTAACTGCCATCCTGTGACTCCAGACCCATATTAATGTGGTTGACTCCTAATTGCCATGTAGGCAATTAATGATGGGCAGTAAATGCCGGCCTACTTAGTGACACACATCCCATTAAAGAAAGAGCATCTTTTAAAAATATAAGACCACGTTGTCAAAGGGACAACAGATGAACATGGAGAAAAGATTACTTAGTTAACAGGAAGCAGCAAGTGGTCCCTCAAGTGGGTGGTTTTGGTTGTTAAGCTATAACTTGGGTGCCACAAGAATCATTCTTGGTGCCTGAACAATTTACAATCTATATCAAGGACTTCGATGAATGGTCTAAATGTATTGTCATCAGATTTGCTATTACGCCATTATGAAGCTTTATCATATATTATTATTTGAGAACTTCAGTTCTAAAGCGGACAATGAATTTTAGTTTTCTGATTCTGTGAAGAACTGACCTGTTTTTTACCCCAAAGGGTCACAACACAATTTTGAAAATTGATTTTAAAGAAACATCTATAAGAAGTCATGTGATTTAGGGCAGCATAGTGGCTGAGTGGTTAGCACTGCTGTCTCACAGTGTCAGGGACCTGGGTTTGATTCCACCCTCAGGCAACTGTCTGTGTGGAGTTTGCATGTTCACCCCTTGTCTGCGTGGGTTTCCTCTGGGTGCTCCGGTTTCCTCCCACAGTCCAAAGATGTGCAGGTGAGGTGGATTGGCCATGCTAAATTGCCCATAGTGTCCAGGGATGTGCAGGCTAGGTGGATTAGCCATGGGAAGTGTAGCGTTACAGGGATAGGGTAGAGGTTGGGTCTGGGTGGGATGCTCTTTGGAGGGGTGGTGTGGATTCAATGGGCCGAATGGCCTGCTTCCACACTGTAGGGAATCTATGATTTCAGTTAGCTATAAAGCAAGCTATCTGAGACATAATTGCTGAGGTGTTTGCTGACTTGACATTTATCATCACCAGAAAGTAAGAGAGAGGGAGGTAAGTTCATGCAGAGGGAAGAGGCCCATAACAGCAGAGGTGCTGTTAAGAGCAGTCTCCAAGCAGTTAAAAGTTGCTGGAGAAACTCAGTAGGTCTGGCAGCATCTGTGGAGAGAGAAACAGAGTTAATGTGATAATGCAGACAGAATGCAAAATGAATTGAGTATAAATGTAGAGAGGTTTTACTTCAATTGTACAGAATCTTGGTCAGACCACATTTGGAGCACTGTGCTTAGTTTGGGTCTACTGATTTGAAAAAAAGTGATAAAAGTGCATTGTAAGAAATCCAGAGAATGTTCAGTCAACCCTTACCTGGGATGGTGCGCCGTTTTATGAAGAAGGGTTGAAAAAGAAGGTCTGTGTCCATTGGATTTTGAAGAATGAAAAGTGATCTTACTGAAACATATAAGATTGTGAGGGGACTTAACAGGATGGTTATTGGAAGGATGTTCCACTTGTATGGGAGACTAGAAGTTGGAGGCACCATACACTGAGATCTGCCATTTAAAAAAGGCAATGAGAAGAACTTTCTTTTCTTAGAACATAGTTAGTATGTGGAATTCTCTTCTCCAGAAAGCAGTGATGCTGGGTCATTGAATTTATTCAAAGCTCAATTCAATAGATTTTTGACAGACCCATGAAGGATGAGAAGGCATGGCGGCATGGGGATATAAGGGGTGCTGGGCTAGTTGGGTTTATGAGGGGTTATGGAGGGGGCAAAGGGGTGAGACGTGAGGTTTAGGAGCCGAAACAGCAATAGTTAGAGTTCAGCTGCTGCCTTCAAGAACCATGAAGAACCTGCCCCTGCATCCTCACTCCAAGGTCACTGTGCAGCTGTTCATAAACTGCACTTTGCCCTTGCACAAAGAAACAAAAATTCTGGAAAAAGTTAAACTAGGGTTAGTGTTTCTGAAACAGCAATTTCGCAAGCCAAGGTGAAAATCTGAGCCTACATCGATGTAACATTTTGTTTCCATGCCATTCTATCCTACTCACTTCAAATTGACCGTGCTGAACAGTAGGAACTCTCCACAGTTTGCTAGTTTAAAGTTTAAAATGAATAATACCATCTCCCACTGAATTGGGAGGAATTGGCTCTGATGGCTTTCTCTTGGAGATTTTTTGCTGTGCTCATTAAGATGAAAAATGCTTTGAGGAATGGTGGCCTTTTTAATTTTGAAACGAGAATCAAACATTCTCAGGTGATGTATGGTGTGGGTTACATAAAATGTGAAGATCCTATGACACAGTTTTCACCACATTAACCTAACTCTTATTAAAAATGTTTTCTTCCCTACATTTTTATGATGCTGGCAAGTGGGATTGCTCATTTCATTTCAACTTGTACCAAACAACAAAAATTTTGTGAAAGCTTCACTATTTGCCTCTGAATTGTAAGCATCTCCCTTCAACTCCAACTTGATAAGAACAGCTGTTCACCTCTGAACAGGCCGTTAGAACAGACAGTAATCATACAGGCTGGATCTTTTTTGAAGCTTTCCTTCACCAATAGCTCTGCCAGAAATAGGTGACTACTAACTTCACATTGTTCCTGTAGCAAATTATTAAGAACAAAATACAGCATTCGAAATTGCAATTCCTAATGTTACGTCTAGAATATAATTCCCACTTACTGGTATCCATGGAGAATTTCTATCATATTTGCAGTGGAAATTGATGAAAGTTGTCTTTGGTTATAAACAAGAGATCAAATAATACCTTTTGCACAGTCAGCCCCATGGAATCCTGGGAAGCAGTGACAAACGCCGGACACACACTCTCCATTGCCATGGCAATTGTGAGGACACTCCTGCACAGAATCTGACAATGTCAAAGGCATGGTTAGTAATTACTTTCTATATAAAGGTGTATATTCAATTACTGAGTATTGCTGCTGAAGTAGTGCCTGCATTATTTTCATTTTCATCTTCTGTTTTCAAGTAAATTATGTATTAGGTTTATCAAGGTAGATACCTGTAGGTGATAGAGAATGGAAAAGCTTTCAGGTCGTGACATGAGTTTCAGTTCCTGACTGACCAACATGAAGTAGATCAAGAGTTAACAATCCCCTTTGTTCACCTTAACAAACTCAGCTGAGAGATAGTATTCACCAATACACCAATACGACGTTCTCAGCCCTCACAATTTTGTTCCATTGGACTGAAAATATTAGGAACACAAAAAAGTTCTGGAAAACCAAAAGTTATTTAGCTCAACAAATTTGTTGCTTCCACTAACCATGTGCAATTTGCCCTTCATCCAAATGACCTAAGCTCTTCAAGAAATGTTCTGCAGAATTTCTCCCTGAGCCTCCAACATAATTGAGTGAAAGTACAGAATATCCTGTTAATGTTAGAACATACATTATTCAGTCTTCACCAGCTACCTTCCACAGATGATATTTCCATGATTTCAGCAGTATGTGCATTATCATATTGGAAACAGTATTTGATCACTTCTTGAGTTTGTCTTTCTAATTTTCAATTCCATTTTCCACTAGATACTTAACAATTAGCATAGAATTATGGCAGACCACAAAGCCAGAATCCAGAGGTGTGATGGTGAATGCTGATGTATCATGTGACTCAAATCAATTCTCAAATCAACTCAGCTCCCAAATCAATTTGTTTCCACTTCTAATTTCCTTGCTTTTGCTCCTGTCTGCTGCAAATTAAATGACTTTACACCATCCAATGCTATGGGTGGGAATAGAAATTACAAGTAAAAATAGTGTAGCCCTCTCAGAAATACTGCCTTGAACAGAAAGCATAAAGTAAAATGAAACTTTTCATTTGAGAATGTAGACCTTTTTTTTCAAAAAGGCAACTGGGTAGGAAATGGATTTGGGAAATAACCTGTTTATCTAGGGTCTCCATATTGCTTCTGGATTGCCAAATTCCAATATAAGAGGGAGAGATAGCTTCTTGAATCAACCAGATACATTGGCTTGACAGTGTTTTATCCTGATGAAAGGTCTCGACCTGAAACATCGACTTTCCTGCTCTCTGATGCTGCGTGACCTGCTGTGTCCCTCCAGCTCCACACTGTGTTGTCTCTGACTTCCAGCTTCTGCAGTGCTTGCTATCTCCTAGTGTTTTATCCTAGTAGGAGTGAGGGCAGTGCAATTTACATTTGAAAATCTCACCTGATCTTCAACCAGCAAAGTATCCCTGTTGAAGTTGCAGCAGACTGTTACGGCGATATTCATCATTTTCATGAAAGTGACTCCCTAATTTGTGCTGAAAAAGGCACTGGTGCTTGCCTAAACCATGAAAATATCTCTGACCTTGGCATGTCCATGTGGCAGATGGAGGTTTTGCCTTGCCCCAGATCTGAGCCCAAATTCCCTCAAGGGGAATTCTAAAGGCTATCTTTCTGATTCCTTGAATGAACTAATCTGACCTGACCAAATGCAAAATTTCAAAGCTGGTGTTTTAATGTAACAAAAAAGAAACAGAATAAAACACAGTGTGAATTACATACACATTCATATCAATACATGCTCACCCACCCCACAGCTATGCTTGCCAATCTAGACACGTTACTGCATATCTTCAACATAGATCAGTGTTCTTTTCTCATCTCTGAGTCAAAAATCCTGAATACATGAACAAATGCCCCTGTGGGAGTATCATTACCAGCAAAATTACAGTAGTTTGTGAAGAAAGTCAGTCACTACCATTTCATGACAACGAGGGATGTGCTATTAATGTATCCTTTCTACTCATCCTGCAAACCTGTTGAAGAAAAGAAAACATGATCTACCTGCAGGGTTAATTAGCTCATTAAAGATTGCCACACCTACAAGAAAATTTTCTTTAATATTTGTCAGTTAAATATAGAGCTGGAGCATCATAACTGCAATGTGCCATTGTAAATTTAGGCAATGTACTTTTAAGTGGTCACCACCACCATCTGCCACCACAATACCACCTCCCTGCAACTCAATCAACCAGCTCCCCACTCTCACCTACTCAAAGTCAATACTTCTTGCATTGTTTTATTGATTTTCAAGAATGAGCAAAAGGTCTAATCTGAAAGATAGCTGTTCAGATTTTCTTTTAGACTCATTCACAACTTGTGGGCGTTGCTGACTAGGTCAACATTTATTGCCCATCTCTAATTGTTCAGAGGGCAGTTAAGAACCAAACACATTGCTGTTCATCTGGAGTCATATGTAGGCCAGACCAGATAAGGATGCAGACTTGCTTCCCTAAAGGACATTAGTGAACCAGATAGTTATTTTTCAATAACCAATTGTGGTTACACGTTCTCTTTTTCGCAATATTTCCAAGTTCAAGGTTTTTTTTTATTGAATTTAAGTTCACATTCTGCAATGATGGGATTTAAACCCTTGTCCCCAGAACATTGGCTTTGGCTTCTGGATTACAAGCCCAGTAACATAATGAGCAAACAGTGGTGTATTGATAATGTCATCAAAAAGTACATTGCCCAAGTCTAAAGATGTGCAAGTTGGGTGGATTGGCCATGCTAAATTGCCCATAGTGTCCAGGGATGTATAAATTAGGTGGATTAGCCATGGGAAAATGCAGGGTTATAGGGATAGGGTCGGGGAGGCAAATCTGAGTGGACTGTTCTTCAGAATGTCGGTGTGGACTCATTGAACTGAATGGCCTGTTTCCACAGTGTAGGGATTCTGTTAAATATACAATAATACATTGTGCTTCTGATGCTCCAGCTCTATCTTTGACTCATGAACGTGAAAGAAAATTTCTTGTAAATGCACCAGCCGTCAATGAGCTAATTAATCCTTCAGATAGATCATGTTTTCTATTCTGCAACTGTTTTGCACGATGTGTGTAAATGACACATTTATTTCCCATCTCTAGTTATCATGAAATGGTGGTGACTGACTTCAGAAACTGCTGTAATTTTGCTGGTCCCCAAAAGGACATTTGTTTATGTATTCAGGATCTTTTACTCTGGTAATGGGAAGGAACGATCATCAATGTTCAATTTGGAATATTGAGTTACTCAAATAGAATTCTTGAATTGACAAATACTGCTACAGTTTTCTGTTCAGCTCAAGCTAAAGGATATTGACAGAACAAGAATGCGAGTTCATTATTTGAAGATAGGGCTACATAGATACAAGGATAACTCAGAGGCTACGTAGAACATGCCTGATCTGGTGGACAACTGCTCTCTTCTGTAAACAGAGTAAATGGGATTGGACATCAGATCCAGCCTCATGGTGGATAGTTATGGACTGCACTTTAAATTTATCTCCTTAAAGGAATATTACAACAACCAGCAGTTCACCCTTAAGATAAACAAATGGTGTTGAAACATTAATTTCCAATTCATATCATCTTCTTGTCTTTAAGTGTCTTGCAGGGGCTAACATATTAGTAAATAATGTTTCAAAGATAAATGTATTTATTTCAGAAAAAACAAAAGTTGCAATAACCTTAAAGGTCAGAAGATAATTTGGTTTTGACTCAGTTGGCTGTCACATAATAAATCCAATGTTTTATTGTCTTTTTGACAGAGTTAACGTGAAATATAGAATGGTTTAACCATTATATCCTTTCTAAATAGCTAATGACTAGTAATGAATGTATGTATTTGAAGTTCTGAAAATATTTTGCACTTTGCAATTGTCTTCTTGCCCAATTACTCTGCTGTCATGTATACCTCATGGTTTCATCATGTCCATTACATTAAAATGCTTTTCTTCCCTCAGAAGTTAGGTATCTGCCATCAAAAAACAACTGCTACCTGACTTCTGATTTCTGATGAAGGGTCTAGGCCTGAAACGTCAGCCTTTCTGCTCCTATGATGCAGCTTGGCCTGCTGTGTTCATCCAGCTCTGCACCTTGTTGTCTCTGCTACCTGACTGTACTTGACTCCTAAGTTATCACTGTGTGATGGTACGGTCGGCTTATGAAATCTTTAACAATTTGCATTGATACTAACACACTAATACACTGATACTAACAAAACTCTATCCATAAAGAACATGATGATATTTTTGATCCTAGTGGTAGAGATGATTTCAGATCACATTCTGAGTGAATTGTCTCAGACAGAACACAGACCTGAGACCTGAACGAGAGGGGCTGGATGGACCTTGTGAAGTGCAGCAGGACTGAAAATAAAAGCAATGACACATTGGAAATATCTTCAGTATAGCCTGTATCATGAAATCCATCTTTTTGTTGTATGCAACTTGGCTGTGGGAGCCAGAAATCAGTGATCATTGTAAAATACATAAAACAGACAGTTCCCGAAGAACTGTTACATTCACTCTCACTGTTGTTTGCTACAATTCATTCTACACAGCAATAAAGTTGGGGCTTAGTCCAAGGTTTTCATAAGTCACTCAAAACAGTTCAAGCATCACTAAAGAACATTTCCAAGGTCTCCCTCAGTCGAAAGTAGAAGACAGATCAAGGCAGAAACAGTTTTCATGCAGAAAAAAAACTCTTAAGTTCTACTGCTGAAAGTGAACACAACTACACAGATTCAACTGAGGAGTCAGGAATAATTGAAAAGGGGTCTGTAAGCAGTTAGAGTTCAGGAGAAGCTGTCTGCCACTAATGGTTCTCTGCAGCAGGAACTGTGACTTGAAGACCCACAAACAATTATTCTTCAAGTAAGATTAGAGCTCAGGGAAAGAAAAAAAGTTCAGGGACAGTATTAGCTTTGTAAAACTAGCTATCTGTGAAAAAGCTAGAGATGTACTTGTGAGAAAGTGCAGTTTCCAGAATCCAAGGGAATGTAGTCCCAGAAAAACAAGGTGCACTACTGAAACGTGAGCAGTGTGATGTTGGGGTTGTTTAGGATGGATCAGCTCTGAGGGAAGTTTCAAAGACAGGTTGTCAAAAGTGAAGAATCTGAGCCCTCAGGAGATTCTGAGAAGATTTAATGGTCCACTGTATTGTTAACATTTGGCAGGATTGCTGTGAGTTCTATGGGATTTGTCTTGGTCACCTTTCTATTTGATGTGGGGTGGATGACCAGGGCTTTCGCTCTTTGCCTGTGATTGCCTGACGTTAATTTTGCGATGCTGGAATACAAGTTATATCCATCATTGCATTATCTAGACCATTTTTTTTCAATATGTAATAAACTCATTCTTTGTTGACTAAATAAATCTGGCTGCTTGTTTTTAATATTAAACCAGATATGAACTGAGACTGAACAAATTGGTCATATAGTCAACCGGATGAAAATTGATATTTGTGGGGCTATTTGAGGAATAAGACTAGAAAGGAATTGATGAATCCCTCCAAACTCAGTCATCATAGAGTAAAAGAGAAAGCTTAGAGGGGCCAGGTCCAGAAGAAGACTGAAGAAGGTCGAGATATACATACAGGCATGATGCATTTTTATAGCTTCGTTATAATACGAGTCTGCTGCGTATTTATATGTTCGGTAATGTGTATGAAATTCAGTCCAGGCATGGCAGGTGTTAACAACTTATCCCACTCTCTCTCCCAAACCCCACCCCTGAATGTCAAAATGATGTTTGAGGACCATATTATCCATATAATCAGTCATTTCTTTGAAAAACTCTATTAGCGTTGTCAAACATGACTTGCTGTCCTTGATTATCCCATGCATCTGTAAATGCTCACTAATTTGATCTCAAATTATGCATTCTAAGAGTGAACCTACAACTGACGTTAATCTAACAGACCTATAATTAACAAGTTTCTTCTTCTTTCCCTTCTTCAACATATTACAGCAAATATATTTATTTAAAGGAGCAGGTTAGATGGCATTATGAGCTATGACACAATTGCAGAGCTGATGAATTAAGTAAACTGCTTATAAACACTCAGCACCAGTCTTGCATTAAAATGTGTTGATTTTACGATGGCTGTATAGCACTCTTATGTATAATTGATGTATGATAGCACAGGCATAGGTTCACAGCAATCAATGTCTGCAGCTTAAGGACCTTGCACATGCACGCTACCATATATATCTGAACTCTATGCTGTTGATGAGTTGGCATTTCCTCAATTACTCTTCTAGCACCAGAGATTCAAGTTCCTTATCTATTTTTCTCATTACTGCAGTGTGTCTTTGCTGACACCTCTTCCTCTCTACTGCTCTCCATTTCACTTGACAGAACTCCTTGATGTGAAAGGTGTGACTCTCAGTCAAAAGACAGGCTCCCGAGGACACTGACCCTGATAGATAACAGAGCACCAATGTTATTAACCTGCCATTGATCTCACCTCTGAGCGACAAGGAAAAACGTCAAAATCGTTAAGTGTGACAACAAAAAAGTAACTGCTGTGCTTATTTTTTAAAAAAAAACAGATGCCAGACGTGTAGCATTGACAAAATACACACTGGATCATGGTGGTTACAGAAACTAACTTATAGTTATCTGGCTTTCTCTCAAATTGTTCTTCTGGGCCATAATTAATGGCTTATGTTCTGTCTCCTTTTCCATGAACCAAAGCTTTCTCTTTCGTCCTTCACTTAGTTTTTCCTTTAAAGCAATGACCTCAACTTATCACCCAATGTTCCGCATTCTCTCTTGCTGATGATTTCAGTCTCCACTTTTATTTTATCACATGCACTCGGTGAACATTATTTCACTGGTCCTCTTGGCTCTGCTTTAGATTAATTACCATTGGGTAGAAATTACCATCAGCAAGGTTATCCCATGAATGATTAACACATTCATTTTAAATTCCTTTCTTCACCATGTTACTAAAGGAGTGAACCAAATTAAAATACTTCCTATCTTTATGTTAGGTTATGTTAGATGGAAACTGCTATCCTTACCTGGTCTGGCCTACCTGAGACTCCAGACCCACAGCAATGTGGTGACTCTTAACTGCCCTGTGGGCAATTAGGGATGGGCAATAAATGCTGTCCTATCCAGTGATGCCCTCATCCCGTGAATGAATAAAGAAAAAAAATTAAGAATTCAAAATCTTGTTTATTATAACTCTTTAAACTGTCCTTATATATTTTCCAAATCTAAACGATTGTTAAAGTCTAATTTTTAATGGTTTTATACTTGTAATCTTGAGCTAACACTCACTTTAAACTAATTCTTCTAACTTTGAATGGTACTTGTGTATCTCTTCCAGTGTTAAAGATGTTTACACAACATTTCTGAACAAATTTCACTTTTTTCCTCAGTGACTCTTGACACTGTAGAAATCTCAGATCAATAACACTGTAGTAAGAATGTTGTAGAGTTAGTAACCCATAAAATTGAGTTCAAATCTCCATTATGGCAGTTTAGGAATTTAAATTCAGTGAAAACAGTCTCAAAGATACAAAAAATTCTGCCGTCAGTAAAAAAGTAACGATGGTGTTATTGTCTTGTTGTGGAAACTTAATGGATTCAGAAATGTGTTTTTATAAAGGAGATCTGCTGTTGCTACTCACTCAAACTTATGTGTAACTCCAGTCCCAACAACTTTTCTCTGAGAGGATCTAGGAATCTACTCGATTTGATGGAGATCGGTAACATAGCAATCATATCACCGAACTTGTAATCAAAAGGCCCACGCTAATGATCTGGGGTCATGGTTGAAAATATGACCAGGGCAGCTAGTGGGATTTTAAATCGATTAATAAATCTAGACTGTAAAGCCAGTCTTCATAATGGTGACCAAAATGAGTTTTATTGATTGGTTCATCTGATTCATTAATGTCCTTTAGAGAAAGAAATTTGCCAGCTTGGTGTCCATGTGAATCCAAACCCAAAGCAATGTGGTTGTCTCTTAATTGCTCTTTGAAAGAGCCTAGGAGGTCACTCAGTTCAAGGCCAATTATAGATAGGCAGTAAATCTTTGACCTTGTCAAAGTTCACTACAAACAATAACAAGAATGAAGGTGCATGAGCAATGTGGTTGCAACCATAGCCCATATGAATCTACAAAGTCCTTTTCACTCATATCTGGTGCCTGGTGGAATAATTGGGAGGACTGTCTCACAGCAGCCAAGCAACAGTCTGATATTGTCATTATTATATCATCTACCGGCTAAAGTCCAAGACGAGTGCATCATCTTGACCCAAGAGCAGAACAGATCTACCTTGTCTTCAGGTCAAACAGAAAAATCCTGCCAGTTACCATCTACCAACTCTTCCTCGTTGTTGAATCAGTATTCCTGAGGGTTTTGGCTTGATGTGGGTGACAACATCGTACAGTCATTTTCTTTCAACAAATCTGGTCCTCAACACTGATAGTATTACCATCCTGCAGTTCTTCAGTTTTATCCCCATTATATAATTCCAATTGTAGATTTATTGAAAAAGAAACCAAAGGAACAGTGGAGACATGTATGTTCTAAGCTTCATTCTATATTATGAAGTGCATATACTATAAATCAGTTTGCCTCACCTAGAACAGCAGTATTGAAAGAAATCTGTTCCTTTTCTTTCCCATCATTGTAGAAAGCAAGATGCCATGTTCCTGAATCCAGGTACTGAACAAATGCAGCTTCATTGATGACTAAGGTCTGGATGCTTCTCCGATCACGTGGTGACTCCATCATGCTCCACTTCTCCTTGCCATCAAGACGCTCCATGAAATCATACTGAGAGCAAAAACATAAACAATTACAGTATAAAATCTGCTTTAAATCAGCTCAGATTTACCTTCATAAATGTGATAATCCTCTTAACAATCATCTTAATTGAAGAGTTGTCGCTGAAGGAAGCAATTGAACTATAATCAGCCAGCAATCTCTTAACTCTCTTCTAATTCTGCTTTAGAACTGCTAAGTAATTCCTTCATAATTTCCAGAGTGTTTGCATCCAATTAATCTGATGATTATCATTTGTTAATCAGAGTGATTGTGTTCCATTATCAATCATTTCTGTGTAGTTATCATTATGCCTCAACCACTTAAGGGGGGTAATTTTATTTTGTATGATAAATATAAATGGATATTAGTGAATCCAAAATCATTTTACATGTCAGCAGACTTTATTTCCATTGAAATGTCTTACCATTAATGGCAATTTTTATCAGTCAGTAAGTGAAATAAAGCTACTGCCCACAAACTATTGTGAAAATTGTCACGTGGCAACAGCCACCTGGGAATGCTTGCCATTAAAATACTGCCCTACAAATGTTTTATTTCATCACATCCCTCAAGACCCACTCATGTTTGATGAATTACTTTAAAAACACAGTCTATGTTCAATTGACAAACATGGCAACCAATCCAAAGTACCTCAAGCACCAAATGAGGGCTAAAACAATAGGCGAAGTTCTTTGAACAGTGCCGCAACATCATTTGCATTCACCAGAACGAGTTAAATGCCTTAATCCGAACAACAGCACTTCTTTCAATGCAACACAACAAACAGTACTGTGCTGAAATACCAGCCTGGATCGTGTGCACAAGTCAGGTATTGAAATTTGAATGGAAAAAATTTGCTTCTATACAATGCCTTTGCCGTAGTAAAAGTACTCCAAGATGCTTCACAAAAGTGTTATCATTCAAAATCTGATACCCAAAATCTTTGATTCAGAACAGAAAGGTTACCCAGATACTATTATGGTTATCTTCCTGTACATCATGTGACAATATTATTCTATGATAATGAGAACACAGTTAGGACTCTTGCTTCTTATTCAGTGTGGTAGCACTGTTTATATTTTACTCAAACCATTAGTATGCATTACAAAAATGACAGATGACAGAGAGATACTGTGAAGCTATTATTTAATCATGGACTTCAGATCATATCCACAAATGACTCGAGTTTGTCTCACACAACTTTCACTGCCATCTGGATACCTAGAAAAAATATCAACTGCGATAATCATTCACATTTCATATTTATTTCCAAATTTCACATGGTACTTGTTATTATACAATTGTGTGCTGTGTGATAATTAGTCAGGAAGCCAATGAAGGGAAACCAAAGGGATCCCTTCATACTGGAAAAGAAAGAAAATAGATCACAGAAATTACTGCTCTCCCTCGACAGCTACCAAGGTGAGATAAAGGGCAAAAGCGAACTTTCATTTACATAGCGATAACAAGGTGCAGAGCTGGATGAACAGACCCTTCAAGGGTCTAGGCCCGAAACGTCAGCCTTCCTGCTCCTCTGATGCTGCTTGGCCTGCTGTGTTCATCCAGCTCTGCACCTTGTTATCTCAGATTCTCCAGCATCTGCAGTTCCTGCTTTCTCTGAAACAATTTAAACCCTTTCATTTACATAGTGTCTTTTATGACACAAGGATTATCCTGAAACAATTTATAATCAATAAAGTACATTTGAAGTATAGTCACTGTTGTAATGCAGTGAAACTCAACATCCAATTTGCACATGGCAATGTCCCACAAACAACAATGTGATAATGACCAGATAATCTGTTTTAGTGCTGTTTGAAAGAGGGATAAATATTGGCTGGGACACTGAGAAGAACTCCCTTGTTTTTCTTTGGACTAGTGCCATTAAATCTTTTATATTCACAAAAAGATACTCATTTCATCTGAAGATGGGATCCCCGACAGCACTCCTGCTGCACTGGAGTATCGACCTTAATTACTTGCTCAGGTAGGTTTTAACTTACAGTCTTCTTATACTGAATGAAGAGTACTACCATTAATGCTTATGTGATCAGGACAAATGATTGAACCTGGAATCTTTGTAGACTACATATTTACAGCACAGAAATAGCCCATGCAGACCTATTGATCTATACTTTACAAAGTCTCCTGACACGCTACCTACTTTATCCAGCCAATCAATGTATCTTTCAATATCTTTCTCACTTATTTACTCCTCTAGCTTTTTCTTTTAATATATCTATGTGTCCGGTTGTGGTTAGTAGTATTCTTTGTGGTAGAATGCTCCACAGTCTCACCAGCCTCAGTGCAGATATGTTTCTCTTGAAATCCCTATTGGATTTATTTCCAACTGTCTTCGATTTCTAGCCCTGGTTTTGGATTTCATCACAACGTTCTCTAAATTAACCTGATCAAACCCTTTTATAAAGACTTCTATTAGTTCACACCCCAGTCTTCTCTTTTCCGAGTTGGGGAGTTACAGTAGTCAATACTAAAGCCTGGATATCTGTTAAGAAGAGTCCAATCCCAACAATTTCTTACACTAAGCTCTGACTGTAGTGTATTATCAACATATAAACCTAACTCTAACTTTTATTTGAAAAGGGGGAGGGGAAGGGGGTTTTGAAATAAATAGGGAGAGGGTGGGAGGCGGATAGAAGAGGGATA